ATATATTAGGTTGTAACATAAGTTCGTAGAGTTTTTTCACAAAAATTTATTTGAAAAAATAATAATAACTATAATAAAGAATTATTCAATAAATTATTATAATAATCAGTCAATTCACGAGTTATATGGCTACCATCTTCCTTCAATAGTGCCTCAGATGCTCTTCGTCGAATTCTGCAGCTCGTCCGCTTCGAGGCGTTCCTTTAAGGTCAAAGTCGCCATTTTTAAACTTTGCAAACCATTTTTATGCAGTAGACACCTTCCCCGTACACACCGCATTGTCAGGAGCGGCTTCGGCTGCTTTTTGACCTCGATGAAAAGCAAAAAAAAGCAGATGTCGAAAATGCTGATTTTTTCCTCCTGGATATTCCATTTCTGGGCCAGAAAAAAGACGAACAATTAAATTGTCCAAAAAAGTAAATATAACAGTTTTGTAGAGGAGAAAGAGCTCTTTCGAATGAATGTATGCACTTTGCTGAAAAACGGAACAGTTCTTTGTAAAATAACTCTAACGCAAAACTCTACGAACTTATGTTACAACCCAATAATTTAAGTTCGCTCATGTTAGAACTCTCCAAAATCATCCCGTAACTCCATTCAGAGAATCGCTTGGCAAATTTGGAAAACAGATTTGAAATCAGCTTCCGAAAATACGTCTAACAGTATAAGTCTCATTTCAAACGGCCACTTTGACTTGGGATCCATCGCTGGTCAGCACCTAACACCAACAAATGATTTGGATTTTATCTTTGTTATTGTTGCAGTGCCATAAAACCATATCAGCCATTTTAGTGACATCTCTCGAAATCAATAAAACCTCCTTTCTTCGAATAACTGACAATTCTGACGTAGCCTTTTTTACCAGAGTTCCTTCATCATTCTGAATGAAACACTGTGTTCAACACCTGAATTTTTTCCTTAAGTGAGAGTTCATTCAAATATTCAACCGAAAGTTAGAAGGACTTTTTTAAGATGAAATCGGCGTTTTTGCTTGCGGTATTGGTGCCTACAGTGGTGGCTCAGTGCTCGTTCAAAAAGGAAAACCTTGTTTCCATTTTTAAGGTGAGTCGACAAGAGCCACGATGCCTTTGAAGTTGAAACGATATTCCTCGCGTGTCTTTCAGGTGAAAGGCAACACTGTATGGGTAGAATTCATTAACAAAAACATTACAAATGGGCATTGGACAGGTATCGCTTTCGGAGAGAACATGGTAGGTAATTTGAATTCTAAAGTGTTTCATGAACTCGCTGAGATAGATGCAGCAAGGAATAGAATCCTTTCAGCTCGAGCGAATTTTCCTTCTCTTCTCTTTCGGCACCGAACGTAGCCAGGGGTTCAAAATTGTACGATATGGAACTATCGTAGCTCTAAGATGTTCCCCTTCTTGAGGGGATCCTTTTATCCAAAGTCGGTCAGCATCCCGAGAAATGCTGTTAGTAGCCCTTCTCTTCATGTTGGCACGTTGACGGGTGGCTGCTGCTATGTAGCTGGTAGATGCACTGAAGCACAGATGGCCAGATTTTTGTGCCGTTTGTTAGGAGGAAAATGGACCTGCAGCAAATCAAAAAAGAGTAGCAGCAGCTTTGACGACATTCCTCGAGACAACCCTGGAACCACAATGGTATTGCGCTTATTGCTTCCGAACCTTCCCCGTACCCTACTGTAAGTGTCCAACATTTTAGTAACCGCCTGATGAAGGTTGTTGTTGTTCTTGGAGACGAACAATATAATGTTTTCTCTGCGTGCGCTCCACTTCGAATATATGCGCTCCACTTCGAGTGAAGGGGTAATGCTCCCTACCCTGCTTGTTGAAGGACAATTGAAATGCTGTGAGCTGTCGATGACGTAGGTGATCTGAATGGACACGTTTTCACTACAAAAGGTAGCTACAGTAGCGCTCAAAAGTCTTCGGGAAATGGTTCTTCAGCCGTACTTTTCAGCCGTAACTCCTTTCCTACTGGATCTAATCGAGCAAAATTTCTAAATTCGGAGCGTGGATGTATTGTGAATATTCACCACTATTAACTTGCAATCTGATCGTGTTCCAGATATTCCAAAGAGCATGAACTCAAAATCGACTGAAAATACAGATGGCCTATCTAAAATCTCTTTTCTTTTTGTCATGTCTAAAGTGTACGAGCGGTAATGCCGAACACAACAGATGAGAAAAACGCACATAAGGTGCGAATAAGTGCAAACGTCAACAACTTTAGTTTTAGCAAAATCCGCTACCGCAGCAAACCCCTTGCTCTACATGTAGATATTGCAGCTTCCCAGTCAGATAGTGTTGTGTAGGGTGAAATATGCTCTAATTAAAGATATCCAAATTTCGCGTCATTTGATCTACTAAGAAAAAAGTTATAAACGAAAAAGCGTCAAAGCATTTCACTGAAGACTTTTGAGCGCTACTGTACATTTGTGGGTGGGTTAGGATATATGTAGGTCACGTAATGCCGGCGGTGAGCAAATCCTTGGATGCGCTGACTCGCGTGACTCAATCATCGTGAATACAAGATCGGGAGCGTGACTATCCTCTTTAACTTCCTTTGTACACAAGTAGGCATCATGCTCGTCAGGCATCACGATGAAAGGCTCGTGACAGATGCGAAGGATGTGCTGTATGAGAAGATCGTCGCGCAACATCGACCACCGATTTGCACGCCTAGAAACAAAAAGATGTTTCAGAATGTGATTGCGGATGAAGTTTCGGGAGAACCAAGTTAAGGCAATCAAACGAAAACGAAGCAGCTGTAGTCACTCGAATTCGGCTGCCCTCTGTCACGCCTGTCAAGGAAATCTACCGAAGCAATACCTACGGTTATTAGCTCTCAGCTGACCAGGACATGTATAGCGGCTGCAAGAGCAGCTCATTATGATAATAATAAAGGAAAGTTTGAAATGGACTTCATAGATTCGTAGAGGTATATTTACCGTTTTCCTCTAGCCCGCTATCGCAAGAACGAGAACGTTGAAGAATTTTCGGCATCAATAACGGGGATAGCCAACTTTTGATGGAATACAATAGAGCAGTGAAGCACTATTTGAGAACACCTCGACAGTGGAATCTGATCATTCATTCCTACCTAGCATCACGTTGCAAAAATGCGGTCCTGTACACGAAATAAACGTGAAGGAAACGTAAGCTGAAGTGGACGACGTCCTTGGAGGCACAGTTCACGACAATTGTGGGTAATCCAGATTATGACGAAAAGTGGAAGATAAGGTATAAATCAATGCGATGAAGGCGAAGAAACTGCATGAATCGTTGTTCCCAAAATAAAGAAGGTCTCAAAAAAACCGTCAAAAAGGGGGCAAGACGAGGATGAGACCAGAAAAATGAAGAAGAGGGCGTTTGGACGAGCTATATAATGTGGTCATTGCGTACGTGTGGGTCCTGTTGCAAATAGCTGACTTCTTTAAGCAAAAATTCATGCACTCATAAGCATAAGTTAACAAAAAAACCTGGTAACACCAAAAAACCCCACTTTTAGGAAGGGAATAGCAGAAAAACGTCGCTTCATTACTCGGCGATCAGATGATTGTGTAAGGGTCCTGACGTGAATTCTTGCAATCTGTATCGCCTCGACACTCGTCTGAAGTTACATCGATCGAGGGGCGAAAAGTCCTCACGAACCGGCTCCCACTATGCCCTAATCGTCAAGTTTTTGGGCGCGAGAAGGTCCTTCCTATCAACCTTGAGGTCCCTAGATATTCCTAAGGGAATAACTCAGTAACTATTTGTATCGTGAACTGTGCTTTTAAGGCAACTACTCCTGATCTGACGGCAGCTGACGTGTGAAAGACACGGTGCAGGAATCCTGCAGCATACTTGACGAAATTGACGTAAACAGGTCGCAAGAAAAGGTTCTCGGAAGTCGGCAACAGACTACCACCGTTCCATCCTCGAATATGGGCAGCTTTCCGGACAGCAGGAGCTACATGCTCTCGCACAGTATGAAGACCATTGACCGTATTCGAGAGCTCGTTCAGCTCTCCACCGACCACTGTGGCTTCATCACCGCCTGCAGTACCATTACTGCAATATACTGATTATGCCGTTTGTGTTTTGCAAGGGAGACATCTGAGCCGTTAGAGATTCGTGGTACACTCTGCGACAGGGAGAGGTTTCTGAAGCTTATTGAATGAATGCGTGACTATTCTTGAATTCAATGAGTCGGGTAAAGGTAGCAGTAAATGCCTCCCCGAAGTTTCTCATGTGTCGGAGTAAGGCTTTGCGCTTTCCCCACTGCTGCTCATTGTCGTCATGATTGCCCTCACGCAGGGTATTCTGATGTCAGCTCCTTGAACGCTTCATATGCCGTTGACGCTCGCTTGCAAAAATAAGAACTTGAGCAACACGTGCGAACTTGTTCCGACTTCAATGAATGTCAAAAAGACCGAATACGAGTCTGGGGATTCGAATGAGCAAAGCATGATCATGATCGACATGATTGTAAGATCGGTGTCGAGCTCGAGATGAGCAAAAAAGTCCGAAGATCTAAAGCACGTCAAAAGTAGCGTTTCTTTCCTACCGTGTATGAAGACCTGAAATTATTCGGCCTCCAATCTGACATGAGGGAAAACGAAATTGGAAATGTGGTTCCCGTGCACCCGGAAAGCAAACCTTGCCTTTAGGCACGACAAATGCTGAAGAAGAATGAAAAGAAGAGGATGGCTCTGGAGCGAAAATCGATAAGAGCACTCACTCGACTGAAGCGTTCCAGAGTTATCGCTACATTCGGCGAAGCTTTTTGGAATATAGTGTTAAGTAGTTCGATAAATACAAAAAGGAAATCACACGAAGAGCGTATGGTGTAGCATACATGCTAAATTGAATGGTGTACACCTGCCTCGATTGTAGGTAAAAAAGACTACTGACGATAAAGAGAAGAAGAGCTTGTAGATAAATGTTGAAAGTAAATAAAAAATCAAATCAACTCAATCAACTAGGCGTAGCGATTACAACCACTCTGATTTGACAGGATACCAAAATTTTGAGCACGACAGCCCGTCCCTCCCATGTCTTCTGTGTCCAAATTACAGACAATCATCCTCTCGAATGCGGCACAGAAAAGTATGGATGAGATAGTACCACCTTGTAAAGCCTCTCTGTTCGCGTTGTCAATGACATCATTGAATAAAACAATGGCGGGCACTAGTTACCCTTTTGCTGCCCCACTTTGTCGAGAATAGGCTGGATTTCTATCAATTTTTTTTCAAGAAGATGAAACCGACTATAAACTTGCCTAGAGAGGCAGTTTGATCCGTAGGACACGAATATCGCATCCACTCGTCATGGAAATGCCTAACGCTCACGCCACAGACACCGGCGCTAAATGGAGCTGGGTCACCAATCTTGCTGAAAACTTGCCCCTTAGTAGGGTGTTAGAACATGGATATCATATTTACTCCGCATGGTAACTATTCACATTCATGGTAGTTGTATTACATGATCGCACGCAATATGCTCGCTTGAAGAAGTTGAAGGTGATCTCTCCAGGCACTCGAAGCTCGCGACGCCACATGAATTGTCTGATGTAATCGGTGTAGCTAAACGATTCGATGTTCTGGGTGTGGGCGCCAGTTCGACGATCGACAAAATTAACCATTGTAAGGGTCACTACTAGGGACTACGCTGAACGGGCGATTTGCTTCGAGTGTGGTACAACACGAGGAATGAATAGTTTATTAACAAAAGCGATAAAAACTCCGAACACAAATACAATACTGATGCGAAAAACCAAAATCAAAAATACGATACAACTAAAAATCCCCCGAGGGTCAGGGCAGAGAGAATGCAGGGGGGCCCACCA